AACACGAACATGTATTTGTTGATGTGACAGCCTCTGGTCGGAGTCCATCTCCGAGTCAATCCGGTACAAAGAACCAGCTGCCGTGGGATTGTATATAACATGTTGTTCTGTTTATTTGACATATTTTTAAGGAAAATATCGCCAAAATGAATGGAATGTCACAACATGTTATTGCAATTATGATTATGATAAGAATTCTTCAAAATACTCGAAAACATTTGTCTTTGAGTGCTGTAATGTTGAAATTTTATTAAAACTGAATTTGAAGTTTCTTTAATTTTTAATTGAATAATGGTGGTACCGTTATATGGGGAATATGTTAAATCTCTGACCCTTAAAACGTATTTCTCAGCAAACATTTTCTATCGCAAAAAAATATCCAAAAAGTCACCACCAGGCGATGAAAACCCTCATATACAATATCAAAAGCCACCTTACTATGGTTAGAATTTTAAGGTAAAAATTTCAAAATGATCCACGATCGGACCCTAGACTTGGCTTCTTCCACACGTTCGATGTAAATGTAGCATTATTCTTCATGTTTTTAAATTCACGTGTGACATTAGGCTTCCGCAAAAATTAAAGACACTACCAGTTGTAATCATCTGTTCAAACCCCCTAACAGCTGTTAAAATTCCCTGTTGTCGAGCAAGCCTAATCGGTCGATTTGTTTTGATTCCCCTATTCGGCCCGATTTTCGACCTAAGAGACACTAATCCCAATCGGTGTTTGTTTTGATTCTGGCTTTTATCAGTTACGTTTTGAAGCAATTTCGTCCAATTCCACAACGCCGTTAGAAACGGCAGAAACGGCATTGTACTTTTTAAACCAACGCCACGCCAATTATTTTTATTATTTTATTAATTTTATTAAATTAATTAATTCAAACGAGGAAACAGAAATCAAAATAAAAACAAAGCGAAAATGTTTTTTGTGCCACATTTGAAGCATAAAAGAGGTGGCACCTATGATGTGCTCCCGTTTCCTCCGCCCTGTACCAATGAAGGACAAGATGCATATAACGGAATTTTTACTGGAATATCTGTAGAAATTTGCAATGCCAATGATATTAGAGCTTTATACACCAATGGATTTTATGGCAAAGGCTCACAATCGCGGAGCGTACCTAATGTGGTGTATAAAAACCCATCAGAAATTGATCTCGAAGAACGGGAAACGCTATCGCTGGGCTTAGAAGAGTCATTTTTCTTGGCCTATTATTTGCGGGTCTTGAAAATCTTCGATTTCGACGAAAAAGAAATAACATGGGAAGATTTTATGAAGTCGGCTTTAAAAGTTAATGGCACCTTTGTGGAGTCGGTTGCCGCTTATGTATACTTGAAATCCAAGGGTTGGGTTGTAAAGAGTGGACTGAAATTTGCTGGAAACTATTGTGAGTATATAACACAAAATAAATGTGGTAATGGGTCTAATTTAATAAACTACTTTCAGTGATTTATAGCAAGGGTCCCCGATTTTTCCATGCCAGTTTTGTGGTCATTGTGAATATTCCTTCCAATACACAGCATTTAGAACCCAAGAAAATAAAAGGTTTACAAAGAATAGCTGAAACATCTGATAAGGATGTCCTTCTACTAGATATCACCAAACCTAAAAATTTCAAAATGCAAACTCCACAAAATATTGCCATGCTGAACGTAACCGAATCTATTATAAAGCGTTTTAATTACACATCATATGTACAAACTCAACGTAATAGTATATCATAAATGCTTAAATCGAAGAAAAATTAAACTTTTTCTACTCTGTGTTTTTTGGGAATGCCGGTTCTGCGAAATTCCGATCTTTCTTGTAGGTAAATCTGTTTGCACTCCTCCTTAAATGCCTCATTCTTATACCACTTGCTTAGGCATTCTTTTAAATGGGAATTTTCTTTGCGACACGATACTACCATCAGTACACCACTGTCTTTGCAACAGGCTTGGAAATCTGCAACTTCTTTGGTGCAGTGTATCTCCTTAGCACGGTCTCGCATAATTTTGGGAATTAGAATCTCAACTTCTACCTTGCGCAGAGATGTGTCATTGGGATCACCTGTAAATAAGCGGTTATTGGGGTCCTGAGTGGAATACGTTGCGGCAACTTACCCAAACCATGTGGGTCCTTGGGATTAAAGGTATTTATGGGAGCTGTGGTCTCAACGTTCATATTTTCTAAGGTGTTTTCGTTTTTACCCGAATTTGAGAAAAAAGTGGCGTAAGTGGTGTGCTTTCGAATGAAAAAGTTAAGTACAATGCCGTTTCTAAAGTTTTGACGGCGTTGTGGAATTGGACGAAATTGCTTCAAAACGTAACTGATAAAAGCCAGAATCAAAATAAACACCGATTGGATTAGTGTCTCTTAGGTCGAAAATCGGGCCGAATAGGGGAATCAAAACAAATCGACCGATTAGGCTTGCTCAATATCAGCTGTTCAGAGAATCAAACAGCTGTTCGGTAACTAGGCCATAGGGATAAGTAAATCGACTAATCGATTAATCGACTTTTGCATTGAAGACATTCAAGGGTCAATTAACCCATAGAAGACCGTAAATTTATGCTTAAACTGAGGTATTTAATTTAATTGATAGAGTAACTTCGGGTAATGTGGACCACCACTATCTTTTTTTTATATTGTGGGCGTAACAAAGGTAAAAAATAAAAACAAATTGTTTTCACAACATGGTAGATTTGTTGGCTAATTATATTCCAGGTCAAAAATTATATATATTTGTTCATAAAATTGTTATTGCATTATATTTCAAAAAACTCTAAACTGCAAATAAAAATAACTTGGCGGGTAATGTGGACCAGTATGTGTGGGTAATGATGATCAGTAAGTTAAAGGTAGGTTGTGGATTAATTTTGATAAATTTCAATTAATTGCACTCTTGGGTAACAATGAATGCAAAAATATATACGCTAAAACTGCAAAAAAAAAACGCTAAACTACACAAAAACGCTGCATGTGCATTGACCTTGTATACTATGCAAGGATTTGGGAATCGCAAGGGGAGAACCCTTGCGATGCTCTATTCTGAAATCAAAACCTTGGTGTTTTAGACTCCAACGCGCCAATCTGCCGCTCAGGTCCTTTTGGCTCATTAGCCATTTGAGGCTAGAATGGTCCGTTATAATCCTAAAAGGTAAGCCCTCCACGTAGGGTCTAAAACGATTTACACAAACTATTGCAGCCAGACATTCCAGTTCTGTGACTGTATAATTTCGCTGAGTGCGTTGTTCCAGATGCGCTATATCGCCTTGATGTAGACGCCTTAGACATTGACTTGTGTTTCCCTGAAATAGATTTATCGTCCAGCCATTTCGATTGTCCTGATGACAAAAACCACTTTGAACGATGTCAAAAGAAAAGCTGCGATTGAATTAAATTAATTTGCAGTTTATTATTTCACTACATAATTATGTGCCTTTTTATTTAAATTCCATATTTTATCTCCCCAAATTCTTAAAGTGGTCAATTATTTTACGATATGCTCCTCCTTCTTTATTTCGTCCTTCAAATCATGCACCCAATACATTTGAAAGATAAAATATTTTTTTTGTTGCTTTATTATTGTTCTATCATAATGTCATCACATTCTCCCACTCCCTATAATACCTAATGACAAATTTTCCCCAATGCGGACTTTTTCGCTTTCGAACTTGATTAAGAATAAGGGGAAAGTGAAAATGCGGCGAGTTGTGGATCAGTATAACTTTAAAGAGAAGAGCGAACAAATTCACGGTGAATTGATGTCCAGAGTAATGCTGATTACTTATTAGGGAATAAGTCTCAACTGAGTATCTAGTTCACAGTTTTTAAATAGCAGTCATCGATATATCATTTTCGTCTTACAATAGTTTTGTGTAAGAAAGATTTGTGATTGCAACAACCTCAAATATATCAATGAAAACGTTGATATCAGCTGGTTATCACACCTAAAAATGCAGTGTTCTTGAAAAATCACCCACCGAAAGATTCAACATAAAATGGAAACACACATTTTTTAAATTTCTTCATGATTTATTTTATACAATTTCTATATAATATTCTTCATAATTATCATTCGTTTTTTTTGTTTACCTGAAAAAATGTCTTATTTATTTCGTATTTCTTTACAGCTTATCTAAAATAATAGTAATAATAATCGTTTACAATTAATAACATTTGAATTTCTTGGCTTGTTTTTCGTTTTTTAAATACATATATAAACTAATGGAAAGTATTTTATACTTATAAACGTTTCGTTATTTATACAATAATAAATCGTTAATAAGTTGCTTTGTTGTTTAATGGAAAAATAAAAAAATCATATAATGATGAAGAGACAACAACATGCGTATAACTAAAAATTTAACTAAATAGTAGGGTGTGTGAGTTAAGGAAAAACAAAATCAAAAAATCAAGACAATGTGCGTCCGTTTTTTTAGTTAGAGATAGGTTAGATTATAGGTTTTAAACCAACACCGACGATGTGTGTGTTTGTGTAATAACCATCGTCTATTTTAAGTTATGTCGTCCCCCATCGTTTTTGTTTGTTTTTTTTTTTTAATTTCTTTTAAAAACATTTTAATTATTTTTTTCTTCTTTAAATTCAAATTCACGTACAAAAAAAGAAAAATAACAAATGCATTAAAAAATAGAAATGTCTTAATTATTCGAAGAAAAGAATTAACAAAATATGAACATGTTGTTAATGTTCTCCTATATATCTTAAAGAATATTAACACAATATCATTTATACATAATAAGAGTCAATGAGTTGTGGATAAATGGATGGATGAGTGTTCTTTTTTAGGTGAAATTGGTTTGCTCATGACAGTTGGTTGGTTGGTGTCATTAGTTTTGCTATTCATCAAAGGATGTACTGGGTGTATGTGTGTGGTGAGGTGGGGTGGGGTTTAGAAGAAAAATCTATGGTCTTTAGCTTAGTATTTGTTGAACTGGTAGAAAAAATTCTGAGGTGGCATATTTGTCGTGTTGTTATTTGTTGAACTATATCATCCTTGAGTTCCGCTAGGTTGTTGTTCATTTAATTGTAATTGGGCTAAAGTGCGTACAACTACACCACGATTAACGGGTGAGAGATTTTGACATAGACCAACAACAGCGTCTAGTGTAACATCGGGACAGTCCTAAAAAGATTAAAAAATATTTTTTTTTAAATATGTTTTTATATTTTAAGCTTGTTACACAAGTATTTACCTCAAGCATTTTCGTAATAGACGAAATAATGGCATCCTTGCGTACGGCATTAATATTGCCAGTTACAATAGAATCGGGTTTCAATTGCTCCAAATACCATTGAACCATTTCTTCGTTCTTTTCCCAAATGTAAGACTAAAATGAGAAAAAAGAATTCATCATAAGTATTTCAATTGTAATTAAATTATTTTCAATATACAACATACCTCCGTTGTACCCTTATCTTCGACCAACCAACGTCTCAACATCTGTTTAGCTTGACCTACACTCAAACCTTCTTGGGCTTGAATGATTTTCTTGATGAAAGCATCCTCAAGCAGTAGACGTCTTAGACGCCAGTATAGCCATGTGCGTGATTCACGCCATGGTACAATTTCATTAATGCAACCCTTCTCCAACATACGTTCGGGGGTGTCATGCAAATCGGCAAAGTGTACAGCAACGGTGTGGTATACATGAATCATAGCCTCAATACGTTCCTTTATTTTTTCATTAACTTGACTGGCCTTTAGCTTATCACCAGCAGCCAAAGCTTCGTCCATTTCTTTTTTCAACTAAAAAAATAATACATTTTGAAGACATTTTTTCAAAACTCCCTAAATTTATAGCTACTTACTGCAATGGTTGTGGGATCCAAACGATGTATCGTCTTGACTAGATCCTTTTCTTTGTACTTGATTTCCACAATACCCTCTGGTTCCAAAACACCAGCTCTAGCCTCT